TGACCAAACGCAAACAGGAGTGGAACGAATACATCAGTAGAATGGCAGAGGATAGAATAGTACGAATAGCACGAGATAAGTCACCAAATGGTGCGTTAATTTAAATAATTTCTTCTTCTTCTTGTGGTGCCTATCCGTTACGTATGTTGGCAATTCTAACTTTATTGACCGCAGCTCGAAATAGTCCTTAAGTGGTCAAGGAAAACCATTTTCGTGAATTCTGAAGCCAAGATATTCTTCTTCTTCCTGGTACCCTATTTCCGTAGACCTTTCACTGTCGTATAAGTTGCAGCAGGTTATATCTATGGTCGTTTCGCATTAAACATTTTAGGAGGCTAATATTGAAGAAGAAACAGGCTTTAAAGCCTACATACATAAAGAAAGAAGAACAAGAAAATATTTGTGCTTCTTTTTTCTTATTATTGGTGTTTTTAATTTTTATGATCTTTGGACACGCAGTCTTAGACATTTTGGGCCTGTTTTTTTCAATGACTTGCTCTGTTTTCAATTATCGTTTCATTTTTTATGTCGCGTTTTTAGCTTCGTTCTAATTGTTTTATTAAGTTTTACGTATGCATGAGTGCGGCGTCAGGTTTCCTCTAGTAGTTATATTTTTTCCTTCATCAGTTGACTAGTTTCGTTGCTTATGTTCTCTTCATTAGTTTTTGTTTTCTTTGCGATCTGTAGTCCGGCTTCGAGAAGGTTTTTATTTATATTTTTGTTAATATCGTCAATAAAGTCTTGATTATGTAAAGGATCTGATTTGAACTTACCCGCTAAGATCTTTCGGAATTACTCATACGTATTTCATCACATGTATATTCTTATTTGCCTTTGTAGAAGAGCTTGTTGTTCTTCTTGTCCAATATAGTCTTACCCCCCCCCCCCCCTCCTCAGCATCCTTGGAGCAGACCGATGCTTCGGTGTGGGATTGTGGAACATAAATGACGCCAGAGGAGGAAACATGGACTCAACTGTACTACTGGTAATCAAACTGTCAAATTTCTTTTTTTATATACATTTTCTTAACGAAACTTAACGAGATATTTCTGAATTTTACATTGACATCTCGAATATTCAAGGATAGATTTTTATTACTTCTTCTTTTTCGTCAAGTGACTTTTTCTATACGAAATCAATCTTACGGAACTATCGTAAAAATATTCTGGAATATTCTAAAGCATTGTCGGTCGCGGGAAAAAGCCTCTGGCTTTGTGGGAGAGAGACCAGGCTCCGCACACGGTCTTTCCGTAGCTTTTGTGGACCTGAGGGATTATGGATCCCGGTCAGTGGCCATAGTGGTGGTCATGGACACTTTAGCTAGGAATAATCTGCCTAAATAAAAGTACAATAAAAATGGTTCGTTTAAATACGAAGAATGTCTTTCTCTTTAAAAATAAATTAAGATTATATCTCATGGAACAGACAAGACATTTTTGTAATATCATTATAGTAGCGTAAGTTATAAAGCCATATTCACTTAAACGTTCTTAAAGAAAAAACTTTAATTTTAAATCTACTCCTTTCAAAGATAATTTAAAGAAAAAAAAAGAAAAAAATATAATATATCGTGTTGTTTTTATTGTTTTATTTAATGTTTTTATCATATTTATATTGAAGCATGTGTGTTTACACTTTTGTCCTTTCAAAAATCTTGTTAACTAATTGATTCATACATAAGTGCTGTATTCATACCAATGGTTTCTACTAAAATTTTAATTATAGTTATTTTATGATTCAAGAAGCAGTACATATTATTGTATTGTATACATTGTATTGTTTATTTTATTTAGCATATTTACCAGAACATGATTTGTGTATTTGCAGATCTCGGTAAAAACTTATTAGTATCTAAGTTTAATTTTATTATACATCTTTGATTATTGTATCTAAATTTTCAATCTGCTTGTTTTTTATGGTTATATTTATATTATATATATATATATATATATATATATATATATATATATATATATATATATATATATATAATATAAATATAACAATATGTGTGTATATGTGTGTATATATATATATATATATATATATATATATATATATATATATGTATATGTATATATATATATATATATATATATATATATATATATATATATATGTGTGTATATATTTATACTTTAGTATATTATATTGTATTTTTATTTATTGTATGTTACATTTACCGAAACAGGTGACCCCACACCTCTCGGAGACCTACGGGTTAATTTATTCACATATTGTTAATTATTGAAACAAATTTTGTATGATTGTTAAATAAATTATTATTATTATTATTATTGTAAATAAGAGATAAATAGAATAACAGATAAATGTTAAGACTAAGAATCTGAAAGAAACTATAATTAACCCCAGACAAGTCTGGAGGATAATTATACAATTAGTTCTATTCTTCTCTCAATTAATTAAAACTAATAATCTGTAATGTAGAAAGTATTAGTTTAAACTCGATGGACAAATTTATATGTAAATTTGAAATTGGTAAATATAGAGAAATCCCAGCTGTCAAAATTGAAGGATAAGAAGGAGTTGAGGTAGGAACCTAAAACCAGATGGGAATCGTCTTGGATAGTGCCATTTGGCAATATCAACAATAAAATGTAGATAAAGTACACTGTAAAAATAGATATAGAGGAAATTCAAAATATTTCTTTCGGAAAGTCGCTGAGACCGGTAAAATAGAAGATAAAAGTACAAGTTATTTTCCAAATATCAAAGATATTCCTAACGGGAAAATAATACAAGTTTTATTCCTGAAAGAAAACAATCAAAATATTTGAAGTTTCAAAAATGTTTCATAAGACATAAAAATTATAAGTATTTAACAGTGTACCTGTAAGAAAATTATAAGTTTTAAACAGTGTACCTGAAAAAAAAAATAAAACGCAATTTTATAAGTTTTTATTTTCCTACTCTTATACTGTACCATCCGGTGACTAAGTCCTGTTGAGTAAGGAACGTAGCAGAATAACCTAGAAGAGAACTCTTTTTAGTCTTTTTACACGACTTGTAAGATACCGAGATCATCAGATTTCAGACCAAGTCTGAAAACACAGATTAGATCGGCGAAAATGCGACGCTCTTAAGGGAATTATCAGCAAATTCGACCAAGTCGAAAAGCAGAAATAATCCCTCAAAAATGGCCGCTGTTGATTTGTATACAAACCGACAGAAGTTCGCTCTGGAACTCTGTCTTTAAAGTTAAAGATGAGAGGGTGAGGCTCTTGGTTTTAAGTTGAGAGCGTTAGGCTCTGGATATGGAGAGAACGTTAGGTTCTGGGCAATGAAACAGAGTCTCTGAGATGCCAAGAAGGCTGGACCAGCGGACCTATCCTGACCTGGTCTGCCGTATTGGCATACATACACAGCGTTCATTCTTTAGGGGATAGATTAAGAAATATCTTTATTTCAAAGGAAAGAATGCTTTGTACCCGTTTAGGGTCGGTTGACCCTTTTCAGGCTTGAGTTGGATGTTGTTGTTGTTTCCTTACAAAGGCAAACGCCCGAAAGTATTACAAATTCTTCTGGTGTTGTGGCACCATTTTCACCTGGAGGAGTTGACTTCGGAGAGCCAGAGAATCAGAGAGAAAGTTTTGTTGTGTGAGTTTTGTCTTTTCAGATTGTCTTTTGTGTGTTTTCGAGCTAGGTGCGACAAGGCCGGGTCTCTAGTGACCATTGGTTCTGTGCAGTCTCGAGCTTAACCCGTCCTCGTAACCAGTGTATTGCACTGAAATTTCGTGGACGGGTGTGCTCGTGAGTGGTGTCCTCTGAAGGAACAGGAACTTTTTAGAGTGTCTTGTGTGTTGGATGGAGGACCGTTGATAGTACTGAGGGTGAAGTTCCTCTCGAGAGTTTTTAATCTCTCAAGGATAGGGGTGGTGTTGGCCGTTCTATGGATTTCACGTGAGGGGAAGTCCCACCTTTTTCTGCAGGTTCTACGCAGGATTCTGCGCTCCGTCGAGAGCAGCTTCTCTTTCTGCCGTCCCTTTAGAAGGCAGTATAAGTGAGCCTTATACTCTATAACTGGTCGAATAAAGGTTTTATAAGTATGAGTGAGAGTGGTGTTGCTCGTCTTGCCAAACGTCCCTGCAAGTGGTACTAGGATCCGGGCTCTGTTTCTCACCCTATCTAAAGTTGCCTTTAGATCAGCGTCCCAATTAAGCATCTTAGTAAATAAGACGCCTAGGTAGGTAGCTGTCGGGCTAGTCACGAGCCTGTTTTCCATTAGATACAGGGGCGTTTGTTACGTATGATACAACATTGTTGGCTGCAAGATGTCCAGATGTTTTTGGAGCGCGAAACACAATGGTTTGTATTTTGGCAGCGTTTAGAGTAACTCTCCACTTATTGCACCAGTCTTCGACACCGTTTAGTAGAGTTTGTGCTCTTCTAAAGGCACAAGCCGTATTGGCCATCGTGCATCGTTTTTATAGACGAAAAAGTAGGTCAATCTCCAACGGTCTTTTTGGACCATCGGCTATTGGACCAGCACGATAGCCAATGCTCAATTCCCAGTATTATCATTGGCTACAAGCCTGTTGTAAATTAACCAATGATAATACAGAAATTGAGCAGCAGATTCCAAAATTACGATTGGTCGCAATATCGTTGCTTTTTAGCCAATCGCAAGTTCCGAAATCTGCATTTGGCGACAACATGATACTTTTTTGGGACATTCGGTACATTCCCTAGATTAGAAACAGCTGCGCTAAAAATTGTTTGTTGTTGTTCAGACTTTAAGTACCTATACCTTATAAATAAAAAATGTTAATTGCAACAAAAATATTGAACTTCAGTTTCGTTTTGAAGCATATTGTTGAAATATGTACCTAATAAGATAATCTATAAATACACATTTTATTATACGCAACTATTTTGAAGGTGATTTTAAATGATGGCATTGATCGGTATATCCTAAATAAAATAATTTTTTAATATTAATCTTAAATACACTTAGTTATATGTAAGAACTTGAAAGTTTAAATAGATATTATAACGCTGTTGATTTGTAACTAGTAACATTGCTGTGATTTTCGCATCCGATACAAATGAAATTCTTAATTTATTGTGTTTTGCTAGTTTTTGTAGTGCTCAATGTTAATGTTTGTGGGGTGAGTAAAATTTGTTTAAATCAATATGTTTAGAATAAATATATATCAATATATATCACTTTTCTATTACTGGATTGTTTGATTTCCGTCTCCACTTTTTATTATTTTTTTTTAACTTTTATAGATCTTACAATTTTTTTCAATTTAATAATATTTTTTTTAAACTGCTTATATACAAGGGTTATTAGCAATGGTCGATTTTACAGATACCATAAATATAAAAAAAATAAGAATACAATTAGATTTTGTTAATTATTACTGGGAAAATAAAAAAAATATATATGATATGATTGCAGTCACTATGTTCACTTAGAATGTCTTTTATTGTTGTAGGTAACTGTTCATATTGTATTTTAAATGCGTATAAAGGGCACTCCACTAATAAGTGATGTACTGTTAGATCACTATCGCATGCATAACACAAAGGTTTGGACTACTTATACTACTATAGTAGGAAATCATGTGTGACCTTGGTGTGTCCTAATCGTAATCTGGACATGAAGTTTTTAAGATTGTGACACGAATTTTCTTTGAAATGTGTTTCTTGCAAACAGAATGAATGGATGAAATTTATTTATAAGAATTTTAAGATCTTCTAAATGGGAATGAATCATCGGTATAAGTATTACTTAAAATTTGTTCTGTAATTTTGTTTTTGATTCTAGAACAACGGAATTTAAGATAACTTGGACTTAACATAGAATGTATTTTCTTTAGAAAGTCTCTCAATTTTTCGATATCTTCCGAGTAAGTTCTGGCGACACTGAGAGGATCTAAAGAACCATGTGCATTTTCAAAGAAGTCAATAAGTTCTTTCTGTGTTAAGTATCCATTGTTGGAGTTTTCTTGGAAGAATTGACTGGTGCATTTGGTAAGATCTTCTACTAGGTTTCTATTGTTATCTTGTTAAGTGTTTGGTTTTTTGCTTTGTGTCTTCGGTTCAGCGAAGGCATTTTCGTTATCTCTTATTGCGGAGGGGAGGGGATATTATTTCAGATAGGTTTCGTTTAGGGTGCTGGGATGAGGATGTATCTTGACCAAAGGTATTCATTTGAGTATCATTGGGTAGGTCGCAGCTTATCGGAGAATGCTTGTTTGATTGAGAGGTAATGATCTTTCTAAATGTTTCAGCCTCAGTAAGAGAGGATTGTGAAAAGGAATTTATCGACAAAGGAGCTCAGGGGTGTACTTTCTGTAAAGAGTTTAGATAAACATTATTTTGGGTGTCGTTTGAAGGAGTCTGATTATTTTTATTGGGACAATAAGGTGAAAAATGTCCTTGCTGCTTGTGTAAATAGCAAGATTGCTTTTCGATGGACAAGAAAATTCAATAGTTATTATCCTTATGGTTAATTAACATAGAATCAGTTAATTTGTCTAAGTTAGTTGGCTCTATAAAAGTGTATCGTCTGAAACTCAAGATGTGCTAGAATGCTGGATTTTAAATCCATATCCTAAAAAAGTTAATTGGAGTTATTATATTATACTTAAGTTTTTCCGTTGTTCTTCTATAACACTGAGCGAAATACTTGGACATACGTGGGAAATAATCAATCGTTCATTTAAAGTTATTAGTCTTCGGGCTCGAATACGTTCTTGATTAATTACTACGATTCCATTGTCGTTTGCTGAAAACTCATCGGCTGTTTTTTCACTGGTAAAGAAAACACATATACGATCTTTTATAATTTTAGAAATATAATGTATCTTAGATGTTATTGCATTAAGGTAACCTTCCATATTAGAGTTTGGCAGTGGATGAAGTAGAATTGCTTGTTTTTTGTTTGGAAATTTATTTGTAGGTTGACTAAGAGCTGTAGAATATAATTTTGATGGTTGATTTACAAGTAGATTGCCAGAACTTTCCATGGTAGAAGTTCCCGCTGCTAAATCTAGTTCCATTCTTGAGCTTAATAACTTGAATACAACCCTGGTGCTTATAATGGATCATTACCAGAAGGACTGGTAATTAACCTTACGTTAAATCGCCAAAATAGTTGTTTACTCTTGATTTGTTATACATGATATAGAAAAATTAAACTTACAGTTTTCAGTCCAGAAGAAGTAACACTTCTATACTGCACCTTTGATTAAATTTTGGATATAAACCTACAAGGAGAATATACTTATAATACTGAATTATGAACTTTTGTTGACATACAATTATTAAATATTATATAAAAGTAACACTTTTATACTGACCCTCTTTTTAAATTTTGGATATAAACCCACAAGGAGAATATACTTCTTCTTCTTAACGTGCCCTATCAAGTCCCCTTGACGTTAGCGATTAACATGGTAAAACTGTCTCTGTCTCGAGCTATTCTAAAGGGTTGCTCACCTTTCCTTATTTCTGTCCATTTCCTGATATTTTTTAACCAAGAGGCCTGCTTTCTAATAATTCCTCTGCGTCCTTCGATTTTACCCATCATAATAAGTTGAAGAATATTATATCGGTAACCCCTTACTACGTGTCCAAAATAGGCCATCTTTCTACATTTGATGTTATCAAGCAGCTCGCGAGCAGCATTTGCTCTCTCAAGGACCTGCCATATTTGTCAGCATAGCCGTCTATGGAATTTTTAGTATACATCTGTACAGCCACATTTCAAAGGCCTCCAGACGATTAATGGTGGATATTTTTAATGTCCATGCTTCGACACCGTATAAGAGGACTTACCAAATGTAGCATTTAACCATGCGCTTTCGAAGTTGAAGTTGCAAGTTATCATTACAGAAGAATGACCTCATTTTTAAAAACGTCGTGCGGGCTATCTCGATTCTATATTTTATCTCTTGATCTGGATCTAGTTGTTTAGTAATATGGCAACCAAGATAATTAAAACTGGAAACTCTTTAAATTATATGAGCATCAACATATAATCGTGCATCTTGATGTGCTAAACGGCTAAACACCATGTGTTTTGTTTTTGAACAGTTTATGTTTAGGCCAAACTCTCTTCCTACTGTATCAATGGCATTTAAAAGGCATTGTAGTCCATTCATGTCATCACTTAAATCAACTGTATCGTCTGCATATCTGATTGTATTTATCAGAATTCCACTAACTTTCACGCCCCATTCCAAATTATGCAGCGCTTCTTTAAATATTCTATCTGAATATAATTTAAATAACAGTGGGCATAGTATACAACCCTGTCTGACACCTCTTTGTATTTTACATATTTCTGTTGATTTTCCGTTTACGCAAGCTGTCGCTGTTTGATGCCAGTATAACTTTTCTATGAATCGTATGTCTTGACTATCAACTCCTTTATCTTTTAATATTGTAATTAATTTGTGATGCTCTACTGGATCAAAGAATATACTTATGATACTGAATTATGAACTTTTGTTGACATACAATTACGGTTAATTGACTTTTGTGACATCAAAATACAAAACTGTTTTGTATTTTGAGAACGATTTCCGAAGTGGAAATTGAAACGTCAATAAACGTATTTTTATCTTTAATTGTGGCTTATTCCCAGTTTAACAGTAATTAACTATGAAATGGGGGTATACATATAAAAATAAGCAGTAATATAATTAGAAAATACCTTTACAAAAATATATAATAGAATCATGTACAAATAAAGTTTTATGGGCGTATCTCGAGATATTACAGCAAAAAAAATGAATAAAAGTTATGACCAACACAAAAGATAACAAAAATTAATCAATTCTAAATTTACAAAAATACAAAAAGGTTACAGAAATAAAAACATAAGAATTTAACCAAACCGCACTTGGTTAAGTGGATTAACTATCCCGCACTATTATTTATACGGTAATAGTAATTGGACGTGATAAAACATAAATCTTTTAGGTTAGGTTTTTCCCGAAAAATTACTATACATGCCTTCGGAATATTTACAAATCTATAAAACGGAATATAAAACGGAAAGGATTAAAAACCTTTCGTAATTAGGAAAATTCCGTGTTATTTTGGTAGGTAAATTCTTCCGTCATAAACATTTCTAATCGTACGCATGATCATCGGCGTATTATTCATATGGGTAAAGGGAATTAAAAATAATTTAATATATTAATTATTTTAAAAAAATGTTACAACGTGGTATTCGAATGTGATCCATGCTGTTGGATTTATACATATAAACAAATTTATACATAATGTGCTAAATAATGCGTTCTGGTACTTGGCATTAGAATCATTCGGTAGACCGTGCGCAATTCTCTTAGAGTCAATACCTAACTCATTTTGTATAAAAATTCTCATACGTGGCATTAGAATGTAGGTAGCGTTATTTTTTTAGATTTAATTTATAAAATTGAATAAAAAATTAATATTTATTTCATATAATTTTTTTAACATAAACAACTTTTTTTTATTTAATTTTTTTTTTATAATAGAGTACTCACATTTGCAGCCTAATCCTTTTTTTAGGCTATTTTCTTCACTAGACGTAGATATTATTTAATTAGGAATAAGCCATAGTTAAACGTTAAAATAAGTTTCTTGACTTGTTAATCGTTCTCAAAATACCAACATTAATATTGTTTATGTAAACAAATTTAATATTTTTTTATATTACAAACTTTTACAGGTAATTCCGTTTTCTACAAATGAACTAATTGTGGATTTGGTAACTCCTAAAGGAAAAATTTTGGGTCATACACTTCAAAGTTTTAATGGTAACGAATATTATGCTTTCCAAGAAATCCCGTATGCTGCTCCTCCAATAGGAAACCTGCGGTATCAGGTAAGTTTCAGATCACCACAAACAAAAACTCAATTGTGTTAAGTGATAAAAGACAAAGCTCAAAAAAATTTAAAAGTCATATTGTTATTGGTCATAAAAGGTTTTTTTTTTAATGTGAGTTTTTGTACCAGCTATCCAATGGTTGTACGTACAAGTCTGTAGCCTGAAAAATATAGAAGTTATTACAATTGTTTATAAGTCAAAAACATTAAAAACGTTTATTTTATAAATAATTTTGATGAAAACGCAATATGGATTTAACTTTTGATATAGTTTAAGTCTTAAAGAATCCTATGAAATTTGCTTAATGTGTCTAGCATTATTAATAGCACAGGTTTAATAGTTTAAATATGTAGCCTCAGGGATAAATAACTTTTAAAGTATTTGACCGATCGGGGAGACATTTGGCATAAATTTAAAAGACGGTAATTCTCGATGTTCAAATGTATTAATCACATTTTATTTTGTTATTAAAAAAATTAATGAAAATTATAAATTACTGCAAAAACTGCTTTTTTGCAAATATCTCCGAATATATTTATCAATTTTAATTTAAAAAACGGGAAAATAAAGATATATTTGGTATAAAAAAAAAATTATATAAATATTGTTTATGTAAAATAGAAGGAAAAAAACTTATAGATAAAAAATCAAATTGTGACCATCAATTATTGTTAAAAAAAAGCAAGGTAAAAATACGAGTACCTACTTTTTCATCTATTTGTCATCTATACTCTGTTTTTTTAACCAGGAGGAGTAAACCAAAAAGACAGATTCACACCCAAGAAAGTTACTACAAAAGTCACCAAATACGTCTTCTTTTTTTTGTTGATTATCTCGGCCTTGCGGTAATCCAGTAATGAATATCGGACAACCTTACACGTCAAATCTAACATAACTTTGTTTATTTATGTTTGAATCTTAAAAAATATTTAAATATCAGGTGATCCAGTTTATAGATCTCTTGACTTTATGATATTTAATTATAATTTAGAGAATATTTTGATCCAGAGAGTCAATGTTTTTACAGATCTAAGTATGGTTTTTCACAAAAAATTGTCTTTTAATTTGCAAATAGATCATGCATGTATCAAAAAGTTAGAGAGAGTTCAAAGATTTCTGAAATACTGTTCTTTTAAACTGCCGAGACCATATTTTTATTCTAGTGTGATCAATTTCTTGAATCTAGATTTTTTTTTTCTTACCAGAAGAGTTAACTTTGACTTTCATTATTTTTAAGATTAATAATCCAATCTCCTGAATTACTTCAGCCAATTTGTTTTACATATTCCTTCTAGTTCACTGCTTTAGAATTCACTGTTTTGTGTCCCCCATCACAGAATAATTTATGGTTCAAATATAGGTGTGGTCCTACTTTTCATGCATAGTAATCAGTTACCTCATTTCCCTCATTAGATAGATTTGTAATCTATCTATATGTAACTTATGTATCAATATCTTTAAGTTCTATTTGAAGCACTAAAACTCAAAAAGACACTTTGTATAAATAAGTGTGTACTTGCAATTTCTTTAATGCTGGATTTTTGTTTAATTTTGATAGTGAGTTTGTCCCGTTTGTTATGAGTAGTAATATCCCTAGGACATTGATAACAGACGAGATAATTTCATGACAATCGAAAGCTCGTTCCTTGGTAACAACAAGCAACGAGCTTGAGAAATTTGTCATGAAATTATGAGGCATTCATCAATGTCCGAAGGATATTCGGCGGATAATTTTTCGAAAAAAAAAATCATAACTCAACATAACGAAACATTTATGTATTAAAAGTACAGTTAGTGAAAGTACAATTATTAAAATTTAAGTTACCATTAGATTCATTGCTGTTCTCTACTATAGAAGATCTGTTACCACGCATAATATTTATAATCTTGTTGTGGTGTTCTTGATCGAGATTCAAGTATGGTTTTATAGAAACGTGACATTTTGAAATTTATTTGGATGAAGTTGTCAAACTCGATCGTGTTGTCATAGGATTGAAAATTGCACATCAGTCCAATGTTGACATGATTGGGTGAAATTGTTTCACATGACACAAAATGACGAAATTTGAATGGTTGTTGTTAGAACAGTCGAAAAATTATCAATAAATAAAATTTACTAAAAAATACTGGATTTCTGTGAGATAATCAACAAATTCAATATATTATATTACATTCCAGCATAATTTTGCAGTTTTCTTGAGATGATCCACAACCAGGAGGAACAAAACCAACTGTATCAATACAATCAAACTAAAACACATTACTTTACTAATGTTCTTTTATTGTGATGAAAACAAAATAAAAACGTTTCGTAACAAGTATACACTAAATTTAAGATAGTTGCCGTTTTTCTTATGATAATTAGATATTAATAACATACATTTTTAAATTTATAAACACTTTAAACTATATTTATTATGAATATCATCTAGAAAAATATCACATTAAATACTATTCGCATATCACCAAGTCCAAGTTATCACAAACAACTTAAAGAGTCACAAATCGATTTATATATTAGAGGAAAATAATATTCTGTGCATAATATATATTCGAGATGTATGTAAAAATTTATTAGTCTTCCAAAATATCCTCTCCATTTATGTCTTGGTGAGGTTCATGAACAACTAGACCATTTTGAATTTCTGCATTTAGTTTTTTAGGAAAAACTAAATATATTTCAGATACTTAAGCAAGAAAGTTTTGATTTTAGTCAGCAGCCCAATATATAAACCAGTATTTGAATAATTTCACCTAAAAAATATCTATGGTAAGACATTCATAATATAGACAATAAATCCATCCTCCTATAAACAGTAAGATAAACAATATATAGTTATGTTATGCAATATTGGCTGCAATGAATCTGCTTATATGTTAAGTAAAAAATATTCTTTTTGTTTTCTTTTCTTCTCTTTTCATGATGTTATATCTGTTGAACTAAAATACTTGAACATTCCAGTAGAGTATACAATTAAAAATTTAAAATTTTTATTTTTTAATAACTTACTTTATGAAATCATTACATAGTATACACATCATCAAACAGACCAAGTATAATATCTTTCAATGAGATCTGTGAAATGTAAGTACTTGATATTTAAAATGAAAATTGTGTTTCCCAAAACATGTAACACAAGGCTGTTGTATTTATGTCTATAAATAGGAAAAATATTATGATTAAACAAGAAGGGTACTATTACAACAATTGCTCATGTAGCTTATAAATTTTAATTACAAAAACTATTTAGTAGTAATTATAATATACCCAATTATAAAAACGAAGCCTATAAAATGTTTTAGATTGTGGCTAACCCATATTAACTTACTTCAAATTGATTTGCTTAAAGAATTTATATAATAATGAACGACACATATTTTGGAAGATCTGAGCAGTTGTTAATTTTACTAAAAGTGGGCATTTCATTCTTAAAAAAGAAGTTGTGTACTATCTGTCGTATAGAGTTATTTTCATTCTAATATTATCAATTTTCATTATTTGTTTGTACATGTTTTTAATACATTGTTTCTCATTTGATGATAAATGACCCAAATCTACTTGGCGTTTTTAAGGTGAAGAACAATTACCACTAGTACTTGGCATTGAATCCATATTGTTATAGTCCTTTTTCATCATTTTGCTAGCACATTATATGTGCAAATCCTCAACAGGTCAAAAACCATAGGCGTCATCCTATACTTGTTTTGAAATAAATAAAAAAAAATTAATATTTTAAGATGCCGTCAACAATTCATTATCTTTTAAAAAATCTTTTGTAAAATAAGTGTCCACTAATCTCACTATACCTTTTTGTGCGTAAAAAACGTCGGTATATATGCCACACGATTAGTGTTAATTATACACGGGTTATTAACAAGAAAATTCGATGTTTCAATTCAGTTCAATTCAAAATGACATCGACAACAGGTTTTATCCCGGTTAAGTGTAGTTTTAAAGGTGCCTTCAGTCTAAGAGAAAAAATATAATGTTAAATGTACACGATGCACTTGTACATCAACGCCCTTTAACTTGTATTCAAATATGACAGGGGTTGGAGAAGCAACAATTTATAGATTCCTAAAAGAAAGAAAAGGGGGAACTGTATCATCTCCAAGAGGAGTGGATGGAGTAAACCCTTGGAAATTGAAGAAATACATAAAAACATGAAAAGACGTATCGTCCACTCATATCAAAAATTACCAGTCATAAGCAACAAGAAATTATGGGGACTCTTGGGAGAGATGGGATTTCGTTGGCAACAGAATAGAAGAAAATCCGTTTTAATCGAAAAAGATTACATTGTATGTTGGAGACGAGATTATCTAAGAACTTTTAAAAAATACCGAGAAGGGAAAACAATTTTTTATTTGGACGAGACTTGGTTAAATGAAGGTCATACTGTACCATATCTATGGGTTGATACAAATGTGAAAAGTTCCCATCAGGCATTCATCGAAGGTGTTTCTACTGGAATAAACAATATTCCCGTTGGAAAAGGACGCAGACACATAATAACCCATATTGGAAACGAATACGGTTTTGTCAATGGTGGATTATTAAGTTTCGCCTCAAAATCAACCAAAGATTACCACGAGGAAATGACTGCTGACGTTTTTGAAGAATATTTTGAACAAATGTTGGATATAATTCCAAAAAATTCTGTCATAGTCATGGATAATGCTAGTTACCATTCAAGACTAGCAGAAAAATTGCCAACAAGGGCATGGAAAAAGGAGAGATAATCGAATGGTTGGATAAACACGCAATTAAGTACTATTGTAAGGCAACATAAAGCAGCTTATAGAAAATATATAATTAATGAAATGACATTAAACCGTGATGTAATTATTTTACGTTTACCCCCATACCACTGTGATCTGAATCCGATAGAAAATATATGGTCTCAAGTAAAGGGTGAAGTCGGACGCAACAACAAAACTTTTAAATTAGAAGACTTACAACAATTATTAGAACATTCCTTATCAAAAGTAACTCC